ATTTTCACTAAAATCTTTTCTTTCTTCACATGTTCAGTCTATGGTTTTCTCAGCATCCTTCTGTAGATTCATATTTCTTTTGATACCAGTAATTCATAAAACTATAAATTCTTTGGAAATTTCTGACAAGTGCTTAAGTCTACCTGCAAAACGGAACATACAGCGCAATGATTAAATTGTTGAATTTGTTTATTTTTCTTATATATCTATATGTTATTGTCTACTTTTAAGTAAGAATATATCTATCTGTAGCAAACATGTTTTGGCTGGAAATTTGAGGGTCAATAAAAATAAAAGTGATGGGCCTAAAATTGATTAATTAGAACTGATTTATTATCTCATTCTTTCAGGCTTAATTTGATGATGTAAATTGGCCAGTATCCTGGACATAACAGTAGAAGGTCCATCCCGCGATGAAGTATCTTGGGTAGGCTGTCCTGCTCTTTTAACCCGGAAAGCTATAGCGGGTGTTTATCTCCTGAATGGTCCATCCACCCCAGACAGGTCAGTAGGTAGGAGCCAGAAAATAAATAAACAAACAAACAAAAAAAAATAATCCCTTAGTGGAGCAAACCGCAACAATAAGAAGCAAATACTTCACGGATAGCAGTTGTCGATTTGCATATATAATTAAACCTGAATAGAACACATTTGATCGGCGTTGATCGGTGACAGGTAGTAAACGACGAAAACAGCTACATGGCTATGGATCAACTGACTCTAGTTAGGTGAACACCCTGTGATTGTAGGCGTTACCATCATTCGTAATGAATCATACTTGCAATATAAATATGCAAGCGATTGAAAAACATAATGACTAGTAAATCCAATATCGCTCGCTGCGTCGGTCAATAAGAAGCGCGCCCATTTGACAAATAATTGGAGAAACCTTTTAATGGCGTTTGAGTTTACTCAAAATAATCAAGATCGAATGGAAGTTCAAATAACAACAGCAAATATTCAGAACGTATATTAAGCAAGCGATTACCTTATTTGTGGAATTCAGTTAAGAATTGGCGATGATGTGTTTTCCATTCTTTTCGAAAATTATTTGGAATCGGTGTATGGCAAGGATATAACAAGGGTTCTGAGATATTTAGAAATCCTCCCAGTTTCGTTTTATCGACCACATTCTTATCAGCATAAGATATGCAGATGACACTGTTGACAATAGACACAGAATGTAAACAACAAGAACTCTTACAGAAAGCAATGGAGGAAAATAAGAAGAAAGGACTAAAAATTACTAGGAAGAAGAAATAATGTATGGTTGTCAGCAAAAGGAACAACCGAGCTAGCAAATTACAAATTGGAAATACCAAAATAAAGCAAGTACAAAACATTAAATATTAAAGGCAACACTCAATTGCAAAGACGACTTAGGATAGCGAAAGATGGCTTCAAAGTTAAGCAAACTATAAAGAAACGGGAAATTCCGTTAAAAAAAAAAAAAAAGAGTACTTATGTAATATCTGTCCTGCTATATAGCAGAGAATATTGGAAAATTTCTTTGCAGATAAAGAAAAGACTTGAGGCAACAGAAATGTTGCTCTACTGTTGAGACTGAATATGTGAGCACGGACGAAGTTTTAGAGGAAATGGAAACAAAAAGGACACATATTTAACATGAACGAGGGAGAGAGGGAGAGAGAGAGCGAGAGAGAGACACACACACACACATTTGCAATTTCTAGGGCATAATATAAAGAAAGAGGGCTTGGAAACTTTGGCCCTCACAGGAATTATTGATTGCGGTCAGAACAGATGTTAACCTAACGTACGACCTTATGTAAATGGATCGCAGAAAAGTGTTCAAGAGAGATAGCAAAAAATAATAATAATAATAATAATAATAATACTAAGAGGCATATAGGGCAGGAAATTGTTAGAAGCCATGGTCGCTAACGTCCTGAAGAAAGACAATAAAGAAGAAGAGAAAGACGCAGAGTTGATCCCAATAGACTTAACCATTTTCATGAAGTTATCTTGTATATATTAATATTGTACCTGTTCTTGAGGTAGCGATGTTTTTTTGCGTATATTAAAATGTGAGGAGTATATTTCATAACATTGTCGCTAGTGGCGCAAATCTAATTCGCCTGTTTATTGTCTATCCTATATTTCCATAATTTCGTTTTGCCTCCTTTGATGAGACCAAAAGTAAAATCACTGAATCCGGGCTCGAATATTTCTGTACATAACTCAGTTCATAATACGTTTACTTTTGTTTCTTCGAATATGTATTCTTTTCGTTGCATAAAAAGATTATGTGTCTTATTCTAGTTTATTTAAAAAGGTAGAAAAATATTTTCTTTTAAATATTATACATTTGAACTTGTCATTATTCATCAGTGTGCACAAATGTTACTATATCACAGATATCGTAATGTTTTATTGAGATAGAGAAATTAATCTCTAGCAACTATTCCAATAGTCATTATATAATTTTGAAATAAAATTAACAGACAATTTTATTATTTATAATTGAATACGATATTTACTATTGTGTTTCAATCTCGTCTATTCTCCTTCAGGTAACTTTACTGAATTTTAATCTTTATCACAATTGCTTTTAAGTTATCCGTGAAATTACATTCTTTCGTTAAGAGGATTTTAAAAAGATAGCGATAAACAGTAATCTAACGATGGTTGACTGGGTGAAAACTTTTTAGAAAAGCTGTTAAAACTGTTGTCTCGTTACCAAAGAAACAGTAAATCAAACGATATTCAAAGATAATATATTTTTTCTAAATAATTTTGACGGTGTATTTCGTCGTCTGCTTCTTTCAGTTGTTCTCATTTGGAAGATTTCGAATCAAGCGTTTCTTTAATCGGGAGGAACTCACAACTTACGACATCATTTCAATACGTTTGAGTTAAAAATTTGATAGGATATGAGGTAGTTATTGCCTACAGGCATTTTATTTTCATTGTTAAAATGTCGTTTCATTGTTACATTTTGGTAATGGATTCATTTTTCATCATCTACCACAATTAGTTAAAGCAAATAAATATAAGTTATGTTAACGAAATAAACCACGCATCGAGGTAGTAAACAAAGAATCCCTTTCTTTTTGGAAGCCACACTTCAAAGTGACTAAACTACCAAGCTGGTGAAAAAGATGTTCATCAATTGATAGTTTGGCTCCCACCTGTACTTTATAATGTTCATTATTTTCGGCGAGACATTTTTATCGCGATTATTTGCAAAACACGTTAGATCAAACACATTACCTGCTCTCTACGGTTCATAATCTTTCTGAACATTTGAGTTGCGTTTTACATTTCTTAGAAGAAAGAATCTTGCTGCACAAAAAGATATTGCTTGTTTTATATTTTGTTCAATGTGAAATTCAATACGAAATAAAATAAACGCTAATTTGACATTAATAAAAGTATACCGATATAACGCAAGTCAAAATAAAATACAGAAAACAATCCTAATTTTAATGCCACAGAACAGCAAAACATTAGAATGATCTTTGTCGAATCCCTAATAAAATTTAACCATATCCCAGTAGTCGTTAGGCTGATCGTATTAAGATCTCCCAGTAGTAGATGAGCCTGTGTTAATCAGTGTAATATAGGAGAAACTGTAAACGGTTGATATTTCAAACAATATATTAACAATAAACAACTACTATGCCAGCCATTTTCTTTTTGTTATAGAAAAGCAATAGACGATTTCTTTTGGTTTGTTATAAACAATTGACACGATCGTGTTTCCGAACACATTGCAGCTGGCTTTGAATTGTTTAGGACATTTTTCCAATTATACGAATATATAATGTATGTCAATTGATCTGATCATTTAAAAGTCAGTCTCAGATGCATTACCTGTTTCTTTTTCCAACTCAACAAATGTCTCTTCTTTAAGTTAGATGTGAGTACATGTACTTTAAAAAAGATGATATTTGAATTTATGTATTGAATAAATTCTTTATAACCTATAAAACTTATAAAGCTTTTATTCGATACATATATTCAAATATTGTATGGCGGACACATGGAGACGATGTAGACATCTTCATCCATCTTGTGAATTACTTTAAACAGAGTATCTGCAGAATTAGACTTGTTGAAGCCGCCTAGATCTTCCTAAATAATCAATTAAGTCAAGATTTATTTACACACAAGTGAATACACTAGAAGCTTTACTACTTCCAATTCCAGTATTTTATAGAGTGGGGGTTCAATTCTTCCTTTTAATATGAAGTCGATATTCCTTCAAAAAAGGATACTTTGTTTTGCTTTCTTCCGGATAAATGAATCTTCTTATAAAAAAGAGTCTTAATTTCACAAGGCCTTTTCCCGAAATGGGTGTGTGGGGGGCACTTATGGACATTAGAAAATAGAAATTAGGTAAAAGACAATTAGCTTTTATTAGCCTTTTCTTTTCCTTTGTTGATGTAGGTTTCATGATTCAGTGGATGTATCCTCTAAATGCTTTTCTCCTCGAATCAATATAATGTTCGCTTATCACACGAGCTTCACATCCCTTGACACAGCCACCACAATTGATTATAAATAGGCAATGCCGTCGGGATCAATTCTGCAGTTGTATAGCACAAATGAGTGACCATTTGAGCCCCGACTCAAATCTTACACAATGGATCAATTCTGCCTATTTGGCCAGTGTCTGGGGCTAAGGGGCCTTTTTCTTCATGGAAAAAGAGATATTTGTGTGTCAGAATTCTGACATAGGAAAAGAATAACAAGCATGATTAGTTTGATGAAAGTGTTTGAAATGAAGGACAAAGAACTAAGATGAGAGACCAGTTTTCCATATGACCTGATATACAATGAACTTACTTCAGCACCAGTGGATCCTTGGAGGGGGGTTAATAAGAAACATAAAACCTTGATTTAGTAGTTAAGAGGCACTAAATCGATACACATATCGTGGTAATGAAGAGGAAACGATAATTAATTGATTTAACCAACATTTATATTAAATTCCTTTTGAATTTGTATGTCTGCATCCCACTCAATTACTTTAGCTTTCTTTCTTTCTTTCTTTCTTTCTTTCTTTCTTTCTTTCTTTCTTTCGTTCTCAGGTTGATTATCTATCTATCTATCTATCTATCTATCTATCTATCTATCTATCTATCTATCGTTCTTTCTTTCTCAGTTTATTTATGCATCTATCTATCTATATATCCATCGTTCGTTCTCAGTATTTTTCTTTCTTTCTTTCTTTCTTTCTTTCTTTCTTTCTTTCTTTCACAGTCTTCCTATCTATCTGTTATGGAGTGGTTTCACAGTGGAGGCCTGTATTTGTACTAAGTCGGTCCTAAAAAGGGTTCGACGTACAAAACGTTAGGAACTTGATATAATAGGTAATGACGCAGTAATCTAGTTGTGGTGGCTGATACTTTAGTATCCCACTAACGGTCGTCCGGCATCGACCGACTGACCGACCCACTGAGCGACTCCTACTACTCCTATTTATTATGGATGGGAGAGTCTATTAACTAAAGAATAGGTGTATTCCACTATAACATCCCCCACTAAAACTTTACTCCGTAGAAGTAAAAAGTTTTATTTATTTATTTATTTTTTTACAGGACATATAAAAAAAAACAAACAACCTCATTTTTTTTAGCAACATCGTAGCGTATCTCCTACGATTTGGATCCACTTTTAAATGACCAGTTGCCTTTCTTTTTCTCCTGGATCGGCGTACCTCAGGTAAAATCGTTGCAGGCGTTGTTAGATCAAACGTATCGAAAATCACCTCCATCGACGTTTTTTCCGCGGGACCGCTGTCAACCACGTCTGAAGAGCGTCGTCTGATCTGGTTAATGTCCCTTCTGCACGTGAATGTTTCGCCTTTAACCAAGTACATCATAATGCCAATCCGCTTTCCTATTTTTCCAATCTCCCAGAATGATTTATTCTGCTTATAGACATTAAAATATATTTTTTCACCAGGATTGTATTTTTTAACTTGAATAAATTTGTTTTTTTCCTCCGCATGAGTACGAATCCTCGTGGCCAAGTTTGTTATGGAGTGTGATTTTTTTTTCTATTCCACCGTATGAATCCGAATACCTCGTCGCCAAGTGTGTTATGGAGTGGTTTCACAGTGGAGGCTTGTATTTGTACTAAGTCGGCCTAAAATAGGTTTGACGTACAAAACGTTAGGAACTTGATATAATAGGTAATGACGCAGAGAAATCTAGTTGTGGTCGCTGATACTTTAATATCCAACTAACGGTCGTCCGGCATCGATCGACTGAGCGACTCCTACTACTCCTACTTATTATAGGTGAGAGAGTCTATTAACTATAGAATAAGTGTGTTCCACTATAACACTATCTATCTATCTATCTATCGTTCTTTCTTTCTCAGTTTATCTATCTATCTATCTATCTATCTATCTATCTATCTATCTATCTATCTATCTATCATTCTTTCTCAGTGTTTCTTTTTCTTTCTTTCTTTCTTTCTTTCTTTCTTTCTTTCACAGTCTACCTATCTATCTCTCTATCATAGATTTTGCAAGTCATTTCTCTTACTGAACTAACGTTTGCCTTCTCTAGTCGCGCTCTACATTTATCCATTACTGTGAGATGGTCAGTGCTCACACCAAGGCCACGTTGGAATGCTCTATGTAACGGAAGGTTAACTATCAAATTATCAGCTATACAGTCATGTAATACCTATTGAATTTTGTTTTAAAACTCATTCTTCTCTTTCTTTATATGTAACTTTTCTCTGCTATTTGCTCTGTCATGCGTAGTATATATATGTTCCATTCATAATGCAAATCATTTGATAATGATAATATTAGCCAATACGCATACAGACACACACACACACACACATATATATATATATATGTGTGTGTGTGTGTGTGTGTATTATTATTATTATTACTATTATTATTATTATTACCGTATCACTCTTGTAATAACTGTAATCAGCTAATGTAATATCTTTGTATTAACGGAAATATATTGTGCTAATTTAATATGTATAAAGCTTTTCACTATTATTGTATTGGTGTTTTTCACTTGCAATTTATAACATATGTTTATGCATCAAATTTATTATAATTTTCATTTCAATGAATAATACTATCTTCAGTTCAAGTTTTGATTTAATGTATATTGTAAATGAAATTGCCTGTTATTTTTTTCAGCAGTTTGACAATATTTTAGATAATTGTAGCACTATGATCATGTTTTTGGTTGTATAAACAGTCCAGAAGACTATCTATTTTCGGAAATCCGTTTTGAGTAACGCAGAGTTAGAAAGGATAGAAACTAGAAAGTTAAAAATGGTGTCCTTTACGAAGATTTTAATAACTCTGCATTTCTGCTGGAACTATAAAAAAAAATACGAGTAATCTCTTGAGACAAGAAATTTCCTTCGTATATTTATGTGTACTTGTTGCCTTTAGAAATATAAATTTTTGAAACTCCGAAAAATAAAGAGCCGTGTCAGTTTTGAATGTACAGAATTTTCCACAGAAATCTTGTTGACGGAATAACGTTCAGAGTTCTTTTTTCATCAGCGGATATATCCTTTTTTGATTCGCATTTACCCCAATGCATAACGTCCTTTTTTTCATTTGCATTTTGATAAAGAATAAAGCAGTAAATGCAGGGAACGCTCTATTTTACAAATGTGTTCTCAACACTGGAGTGATTTTGTTAATAACCCATACTGTAATTGCTTTATCATGATAGCCTGGTTTGGATCTAAAATCAAATTTGACATGAGAGATTCATATGTTTTTCCAAATAATAGCAAGCTTTGCAATTATTTTTTTCTGCCTGCTACAATGATCCAAAACCATGTAAGCCAATATTTGTTGAGGATCCGAGCAATATCGATCTCATTTTTCAATTCTCTAAGAAGCCAAATCGTCATAGCGGCATTTTAGACAGTGAGACCATTTTAATGTTTTTCCCTATTCATCCTATGCTTCTGCAAAACGCTATTCATGGAAATGTTTTATTTCTAGCTTTTTTTTGTTCTCCCTTTAATATTTATATTTAATATCGTAATAAATTCAGTCCGGAAATTGGGTTCGATGTAGCATTTTCCGGTAAAAAAAATTCCCTTATATTCTTTATTTGCAAATAGAATGAAGAACATGACATAGCAGATGAATATGTAATATATTTATAAAATACATTTGAATCTATCCTTGTTATAAAATAACACTGTAAAGAATTAATGTGCTCAAATCCTTGGCAATTATAACCATCAGATTGACAATGAAATCACTTTAAGTCACAATGTAAAGATATTTCTCTGTGATGTCTTATATATGTTTGAAGGGAAATACATCCTTTTTAAGATGTCGAATCTAATAAATATTGCAAATATTATCAAGGAAACTGCTGTATCTCAAATACAAATCTGTCTATCCATATTTATTAATGCTGAAATTTCAAAAGAATCCCATTTTGGAAACGTCTAACTTATTACATATTCTTTCGGATTATTTTTTAATTTCATATTTTGTATCTTAATGTCTGTGTCTATTGAAGTCTTTATGTTAGCTAAACCACGCGTCCTATAACAATAATTAATACTGGAACATTTAACAAGAACATTTATGTAAGTCATGGGGCATTTTGTCTTCATCGTTAGTAGCGGATTTCAGAAGCTGTTAACAGTTAATTTCTCTTACAATTTTGAGTATTCACTAAGACAGTATACAAACACTAACTGGCAAAAAGACTGTAGTGGATTGATATATAGTATTCTACCTATTTCATATGTTAAACATAAGAAAAATAATGTCTATAGTAAAGAAAGAGACAAGCATAAGTTGCCTACTAATTACATGTCGTAGAACAACAGTATATAATAATGTCACTCGCCGATAGGATGTTTAACACTTTGAGCCCTGAATTCCTGAACAATTTTAACCCTGAGCTCCTGAGTAAAGTTCGTAAATAATTGGTATGTAATGACTCACGGTAGATATAAAAATAGTTAGTTACAAGTGTTTACCCACCGTTCAACCGGTGGCTGGGCATTACGTCATTTTTCTCTATCACCGGTAAGGTCTCAAAGGATTAAGTCGTTTGAATGAAGCAGAATTTGTCAGGACTTGTAACCGGTTTTTTTTTTTGTAGATGAGGCTTGGGGGAGAAAATGAAATATGTAACATTTTTCTAGCTTTGGCAGGTTGTGAAGCTATAATAAAAATGTCTGCCACGGCATACCCCATGACATTGAAGAATTTAACTTTCGTCACAATTTCAGAAATTCTAAAAAGACGTTTACGACCTAAAAAGAAAATTATCATAGCGGAAAGAACCATTAAACAGAAAAAAAAAGATGAATTCAATTATACGAAATCTATATAGATTAAGAGAAGCTAACAGATTCTGAGAATTTGAGAAAGTTAAGACTTGACTGTTGAGGATGAATTGATTTAAATACAGTTGATTAAATGTATGGCTGATACATTTCATAAAATATCTTAGAGGTTTTTTTCCTATTACCTGTAACGGCATTCACCTGAGGTGGCTCCAATATTGGAGTTTCATAGGAATTTGGAATTCAAAAGCGGTCCCCAATCCGCATGTATAGCACATGAGATTTGATTATAGTGGTGAAGGTTTCGTGCAGGACCATCCACACTTTTTCAAGGACCGATTACAGAGACCTGGTGCACTACGTGCCACAAAGTCCCCAAACGACACTCAGCAGGTTTTGAATTCAGAGTTTATCCATCCAAGGCTATAGAACCCAGTCTGTCCTGCTATTTACCCATAGCTGGAGGGAGAAGAAGAGGATTCACACCTTTCCCAAGGGTATTAGCACGTAAGTGAATGTAATGGATTCGACTGGAATTCGAACTCGGCTCTCCGATTCCACAATCCACACCGCTATCCTTTACGCCACCGTACCTCCTCCTTTTCCTATTCCCAATATTTAAAGCGCTACACACAAATTATCAGACATGAAATGTTTTTCAAATATTGATTTAAAATCGGGCTGCAATCAAATACAGATTGATGATAAATTCAAGAAAATTACCAGAATAAACAGACCCATATAATTATGTGGATGGACAAGAATACCTTTTGGAGAGAAAACGGCAAGTGCCTTTTTTTTAGAGAGCAATGGAAAACCTGTAAACTGACGAAATCTGTGATATGAATATCTATCAAGATGATATTTGGCTTTGAAGACGAATTAAAAATAAAGAGATGACAATAAACAGAAACAAATGTGAATTTGATTGTGATACAATATCATATTTAGGATACCAGATTTCAAATGATGGTATTACACCAGATCCAAATTTAATTAAGAAAATTTCAAAGCCATCTATACATTCTATTACGAAAATCCTTTTTAGAGTTGGTTAATTTTCATAAAAGATACCTACTAAAATACGGCGACTTATTAACACCATTTGCTGAGCTGCGGAAAAAGAATAATGAGTTTAAATGAACTCAAAGGCAAAGCTTAACGTTAACTGATTGAAAAGCGGTACTCACGGAAACAACCATTATAAAAGTCGTTGATTCCAGAAAAGATGTTATGTTAACTACGGATGCGAGTGAGCGATCTGTATCAACAATTTTATCACAAGAAGCCCATCCAATAACATACCTTTTAAGAGGATTGACAGTAACAAAAATAGAGTATTCAAACCATTGTCTGGAACACCGAGAGAGCTCGACATTTTTCATTAGGTAAGAAGTTCCTATTAAAATCGGGCCATAAAACTTTAGCGTTTATATTTAACCTTAGAGAGGAGCTACGAAATGTTACTTCTTCCGTGATTCTGAGGTGGGGAATTAAAATTAATGGCCTATGATTTTGATAAACGATTTCAAATTGCGGTCGTGTCTCTTGTTTTCGTCTTTTATAAGAATGACTTTGAGAAAGACAAGTATTCATTTCTTCTCTTCCCAGGTATAGGTTAGAAAAGACTCTATAGCATTGGGGAGCAGAGATTTTAAGAGACGGAAAGTTGGAAATCCAAACGGTGGAATTAAGCAACGCTAAACCAAACAATTCAACAGTATTGTACTTATTCTTAGAATTAGTACTAATAATATTACTACTGCTACTACTACTACTATTGCTACTACTACTAATACTACTACTACTACTACTAATAATAATAATAAGGAAACGAGGAATGGTTACACAATACCCATACTTTAATATAAATATAACTTTTCGGCAGACAGTCTTTTGTATACCAAAAGTGGGAGAATCTATGAAATTCCTCACATAACGGTCTATATGTCTACGACATTCTTTGCAATAACATAGTGTCATACACAGATGTTTTATGCACAACGTATTTTCGCTTATTGCATATAATCTTTTTTTCTCATTATAGAAAGAAAAGTAAATTTTGAAATGATGTTTTCCGGACAGACAAAAATAGTAATGATAAATGGCACACTGATATTTTTTTAAATTTTGGTAAAGATTTCTTTTTGTCATTTGGTTCTAATGTAAGTCCATGCGATAAAATTGATGTCAAAACTCAATGAATGCACTAACAAATCAATGAATTATTAAGGAGCAAAAGTTGAAGACGGAATGTCGTATTGATCAAAGGATATTGAAGAACGAAGACGAAATAAGAGACGAATCAAGAGGATTCAGAAAATTACATCAAAGTCAATAGAATTAAGATGCAGAGGAAACACTTGTCAGTTATGCTGATACACAGAAGAAATAGTAAATGCTAAAAACAATCAATGTAGCAAATAAGTTGAAAGTGAGTATAAGAGTGACATAATTGGATAGGCACAGTGATTAATTCAGAAATGTGTAAAGAAGATGGAGTTAATCATTCTAAAAGAAAAGTGTGTGTGTGTGTGTGTGTGAGTGTGTGTGTGTGTGTTTGTGAGTGTGTGTGTGTGTTCTTCACAACTATATATATATAATTTTTGGTATATGAAATTCAAGTAGATTTCTCTATCTAGGCTCCAGACGAGGAAACCTGATATGATCATCGCCAGAATAAGTAAAAAAAAAACTCTGATATTATCCAGTTGGTCACAGTATAAAACTAAAATACGGGGAGCCTTGACATAACTTAAGAGATATTTGCACTAAATCTTTGGGAGATAAATAAAAAAGAAACCTATTTTGACGATAATATTGTAATCGATAGGAATAGAATGGCGAGAGTTAAGTTAAGTAGTGCCAAGGAAATTAATGTTTCTACTACGTTCACGAAAAACAATAAAATTTTTGCACTTCCAGCACCAATATTATTATAGTTTCGTTTTTTCTGTCTGTCTATCTATCTATCTATCTATCTATCTATCTATCGATCTGTCTAACTAACTAACTAACTAACTAACTAACTAAGTAGATGGTCACGTCTTAATTGTTAATGGGTTCTGAACAGAATCTCATGATGGGAAATGTGAGTAGAGTTCTTCATATATAATTGTTGTTAGTTTCTTTAAATTTTGTTATTTTTTCTTCCTGTCATTTTGTTTATTTTCAAAATTAGAGAAGAAGGAATTTTACATTTAAGTTAATATTTTATATTTGCGAAAACATGTTTTTGGAATACTCAGTTCTTCTCGAAATTACTGACAAGACCGCTTAAATTTACTTTGACATTTTTTTGGCAGAAAACGAAATTTCTCTAATTCTACAGTTCATAAAGTATACTATCAACCGTCTGAACGAGATAAATTAATTAAAACTTTTAAAAAAGTAAGTTAAAATTAAACCAACGTACAAATTAATTTGAAAACAGTTATTTTTTTATCTTCAGTCTATTTTTTTTATTCTGAACTTACTTTTGACTTAGTATTCTTTAAGTTAGTCTCACAGCGGAATTAGTTTTGAGTAAGTTTCTAAAATTGTACTAATTCGCATTTGATATTTTACGTTAAATAACATTATCCTCGAGCCAAATTAAATGACTCTATCAATCGAGTTTTATTGTTTGATGGTTGATAATATTTTTGATATAGCCGGAAATACCACTCCGCATGTGGTTACCTGAAGGATAGAATCTAATTTACCAAATTGAACCATATATATATATATATATATATATATATATATATATATATATATATATATATATATAGGTAAGTCCCCTAAAAAAGTGATACATATAAAAACGCTAAGGTTAGATACAAACTTAGCCAAGACGAAAAAAGAGTTAATTATTAGATGTAGACGAGTAATGGATTATATAAAGCTCACCCCTTCCTCTTTCTTTTATATTCAAGTCGTCTGAAGATCACGTGAGTGTGAAAATTCGGTTACGACTAGAGCCTTGCTTTCATAAGATTTAAAGTTAAACGTTTTTTTCTCGGGATTAGGAAATCTAGGCTTCGTGCACTTTACATTAGTGAGTAGGTTGCTTGCCTTAGATAAAAGTTTTAGGTTTTGGCAAGTTTTCTGTTGGTTTTCAATTTTCTTTAATATATATATATATATATATATATATATATATATATATATTTATATATATATATTTCTTATGCAGTGTCACATTAGAACATGTACATATCCACTACATAATTGTACATTTTTGTTTCAACATAAAAAACAAAAAACAAAAAAAAACAACTTTTTTAAAACGTTTCATCAGGTGGGGAATCACGACGTTACTAAAAACTTTTATTCAGAAATACAGTTATCGAAGCAAATATCATCCACTTCCGTTCTTTGGAAATTTTCATAAAAGGTATTTTAGAATTTACATGTGGAGATGGAAGTGAATCTAAGTCATTAGTAATCTTGGGTGAAAAAAAGAAGGAAAAATGGGAAAAGGAAAAGAAAAAGGAGGGGAAGGAATAGAAAAGAAAAAGAAAGGTCATGGGAAGTGGGGGAGGTTATAAGCGCTAAGAAGAGATAAATCTGGCCATGGAATTCCGTTAGAATGTAAAATTTGAAGTTTAACTGTCTCCTAGGTTGATTAGGTCGATGCTTCAAGTGAAAATAATTTGTGGCCAGAGACAGTTAAAGTATAGATTATAAAGTTTGTTATCTTTTTAAGCCTTCTTGCGGATAAATCATTCGAGTTATATAAGTTTTAATTTTTTTTAGGGACAAATAGGGGGTGAAATCGGTATAGAAATAAAAAGTAAAATAAGATTAAAAATTAGTATTGACTTTCAATTTCCATTAATGTGGGTCGCAAAAGTGAATTAATACTACTGCATGTAGAAAGGTAATTTTCAAGAAAAATATGATCTTGGTTCGAAACCCGACCATTGTGTCGTCAGTCAGAATCGGTATCACATTTGTTATTCAGACTCTGTCAGCAGGGGAATGCTAATTGTAGGTGTATTACCTTTACGTATGCAAACGAACATTTTCATTTTTTAAAAATTTTAGTTTGCAAAATTTCTATATTATTTTATTAATTTATTACTGGATAAAGCATAAAGGTCGGTTCAATGAAACTAAAAGGATAAAGCATACGGATAGGTTCAATGAAACTAAGATTATTATATTATTACCTTTACAGATGTAGGAATAAATTATCTTAATTTAGGTCCACAAGTAATATTCAAAGTAAATTTGACTAAAATGAATCTTGTATTACGAATAGAACTAGGGTATAATAGGCGATGGCTTTGGTACCATGTTTACGAACATAAGAGTATTCATTCGTAGATTCAAAATTACTTTAGCAAGATTGTAATGTTAATTCTTTTGTATGCTTACAATTTATTGCCGTTTCATATCTTCGATTTAATAATTTTTTCTTTGTCTTGGTATATGATTATTTTTATTTTCTCCTGTAGGCAGAGAAAACACGGATTGTTTAATCACCTCGAGATTCTAGCCGGTTTTAGTATTTCCGGGTGTTTTTCTTTTGTCCTTTAATTCCCCAAAATACTTAGAAAGTATATATATATATATATATATATATATATATATATATATATATATATATATATATATTAAAATTAAAAGAAGAGAGATACCGCAAACGCTTTTTGGTTGCAAAGTGCATTTTTAAAAAAATATTATGCTTTATTTTCCATAATTTTACTACACGTGTTTCTGGTTTTGTGACCGTCATCAGGTAAAGGGTGGAGATTTCCACATATTTTTAAAAATAATTAATTTTTTCTCCTCTGTTTTTCGATGTTAGTTATTGTCGATATCAGACATTCTCTTTTTATGTGTTAGTAATCCGAATGTCTTTATTCAACTGGCAATGAAGAGTTCTTCGCGGAGGGTCATAAAACAATTAAGATTGGTCCGAGAGAAATGATGAATTACTTATCGGTATCTTATCTTTTAATGTTTTAATGACCCCTGTGTGTTCTTAGATCTATTTCCATTTTCGTCTGTTTCTGTCAGCATGCGCGTATATATGTGTGTATATTCCTTCTCCATACATACACACTGTCTCACTACGAGGGATTAGAATCTGCAATTTAAAATTAGAAATTCATCGATAAGTGATAGTTATGCAATTTTTTTATAATTATGTTTCGAATAGTGGAAAAAGTGTTTGTACAGTATTAAGTTTTGCATTATAATACGGTAGATTTTGGTTGTACTTCAAAGTAGAATATTCTAAACTGTTCTAGAATATTCTCAGTTATTCTATTGTAACATTCAGTTCAAAATTGGATCATTCTGCAGTCACTGTTTATTGATAGCGCTTCTAATAATGGCTAGACGTAACGAAATGACTTGTTCTCAAAAAGAGCTAATTATTAAGCTATGGAACAATGGAGAAAGTTACAGAAACATCTCCAGTGACACGAACATATCTTTTTCAACAATTGATTCATTTATTTCAAGATTTAAAAGACATAATAATGTTGAGAACAAAGGCAGACCCGGTGCTCCCATGAAGATCTCTCCCAGATTACGAAGAAAGTTGATGCAGCAGGTCCAAAATAACCCAATGACCATCAGACAAGACCTTCAAAATGATCTGAATTTGTCTGGAGTTAACGTAACTAAGAAAACGATTAGTAATGAACTATGCAGAGACGGTATAAAGTCGCGCTCCCCAAGAAGGACACCACTCCTTCTGAAACGGCATAACGATGCCAGATTGAAATTTGCAACAGAGCATAAAGATAAGGAACATTCTTATTGGGAAAGAATTACTGATGAGAGTAAAATTGAGTTGTTCGGTCGCAATTCCCTTAATCATGTATGGAGGAAAGACAGTGAAGCATACGCACCCAAGAATACCATACCAACTGTCACACGTGGTCGGGGTAGTATCATGGTTTGAGGCTACATTTCGATGCGAGGTGTTGGAAAACTAGCAATTATATACGGTAGAATGAATGCAGAAAAATATCAACAAATCCTAAGTGAAAATTTATCGTTTTCTGTAGAGAATCTTAGGCTTCCTCCTGATTGGATCTTCCAGCAGGACAATGTTCCCAAGCATAACGCTAAGAGTACGAAGGATTCGTTTACTAATAACAATTGGTTTGCTAATTGTTTACAATGTTCCAGTCAGTCGCCGAATTTGAATCCAATAGAGAATTTATAGCGGTTTTTGAAAAATAAGATCCGTGATAGAGGTCCAACAAACCTGACGACAATTACTCAGGAAGAATGAGACAAAATACCTACTAAAGTATGTGAATTGTTAATTAAAGACTACAGGAAGAGATTGGTAGCTGCTGAACTTTATAAAGGATTTGCTACACAATACTAAATGAAGAAAACATGTTTTTGTTCTGCTGTACGATCATTTTTTAAAGCCCTAAAAATTTAAATATTGCAAGATTTTCTTAACCATGGTATATTTTTTAGTTTTAAATCCATACATTTTTAGTATGCAATCTGATACAGTAGATATATTCCCGTTTTGTTAATTTAATATGTTACAAATAAAATTATGAAATATTTTCATGTGTACGATCACTTATTCAACCCCACTGTACACACACACACACACACACACACACACACACACACACACACACACACACACACACACATATATATATATATATATATATATATATATATATATATGGAGATATACTGGTCTCAGCATCATATATCTACGGATAGAAATTTCTCAGCACATCCCAGAGGGGACTCGAAAAAAATATTTATATGTTCAGATTTTGGAAAACATGCTATTTTTGTGAACGCACACACAAACACTCACTCACTCACGAACACACACAAAAATGTATATTCAAATATACATATTTTTCATATTATCCCTCAAGTATAGGGTATCTCATGCTATATCTATCTATCTATCTATCTATCTCTCTCTCTCTCTCTCTCTCTCTCTATATATATATATATATATATATATATATATATATATATATAAACATTCAGATGTCTAGTTGCACTG